TTGGTTTTTCGAGACAGGGTTTCTCTGTGTAGTTTTGCGCCTGTCCTGGGACTCACTTGGTAGTCCAGGCTGGCCTCGAACTTACAGAGATCCTCCTGGCTCTGCCTCCCGAGTGCTGGGATTAAAGGCGTGCGCCACCACCGCCCGGCTTGTTTGTTTTTTTAAAACATGGGTTTTCATTCTATGTACAGGTATTTGACCTGAGTGTTTGTGCACCACATGCTTGCCTGGTGACCCCGGAGGCCAGAAGAGGGCATCAGACGTCCTAGATCTGGAGTTAGAGATGGTTGTAAGCTGCCACGTGGATCCTCGGAATCAAGCCCAGGTCTTCTGGAAGAGCAGCCAGTGCTCTTAACCACTGAGTCATCTTCCCATCCCCTCAACATATTTTTAAAAAGGTAAATACATCTCTTCAGAATCTTATCTTTATTACACTTAATCCATCTATTGGAAATTTTTAAAAAGGAATTCTGTAATTATATGGCCAGCAGGGGGCAACTAAATACTTGGAAATGGCACCCTGTGCAAGGGGAAAAAAAAGTTAAAATTGGGATTGTCTGTTGGCATTGTGCTGTGCGAGACAGCTGAATGCCTCTTAAAATGGTAATTAACACCTAGTCACGCATTCACACTTCCAATTTGTGAAAATAATTAAGCACTCTTAAGCAGACAGATTATAAAACCACATGCTAAGGCCTGTCTGTGCTACACTGTTTGGGTTTTTGGTATTCATATGTGTCTATCTTGTTTTTAATTTTTATTATAAAAGCATGGACGAGAGTTTTAAGAAATGATGACTATAAGGCAAATCAGAATCATGGTGGGCTATTAAACCCATTTCCATCTACAAATACAAAAATTCTGAAAATAGAATGTCATCCAGTGGGAGATGTGCTGTCCATATGCCCGCAGGGCTCTGATGCACCCTCAGACTGGCCACCTCTCCGAAGCCCAAATGGGAGCCTGCCAGAGCTCTCTCCCTGATAGTTACACACTGTTCAGGACATAGAGAGATGATGGGAAGACAGTGGATTCAGGCGCCCTTCCCCCTTATCCTTATCCTTATGCTTATACTTCCATGGCACCTACTCACCACACTGTGGGAACTTCTTCAGCCCATTTCCAGCTCCGCCAGTGAGAAACTAGTCTGTCTGTCTATCTATCTATCTATCTATCTATCTATCTATCTATCTATCTATCTATCTATTTGCTTTTGCCTAGTCCTGTATTTGAGCATAAACTCTAAAAATGGCCTAGGAACCAAATCATGTTTGTTTGTCTTTTTTTTTGGGGGGGGGGTGTTTTGGGACAGGGTTTCTCTGTAGCTTTGGAGCCTGTCCTAGACTAGTTCTGTAGACCAGGCTGGTCTCGAACTCAGAGAGATCCGCTTGGCTCTGCCTCCCGAGTACTGGGATTACAGGCATGTGCCACCACTGCCTGGCTCATGTTTTTATACTGTTAAGATCACTACACAGCCGGGCAGTGATGGTGCACACCTTTAATCCCAGCACTCCGGAGGCAGAGCCAGGTGGATCTTTGTGAGTTCGAGGCCAGCCTGGGCTACCAAGTGAGTTCCAGGAAAGGCGCAAAGCTACACAGAGAAACCCTGTCTTGAAAACAAACAAACAAACAAACAAAGATCACTACACAATGCCACTCAACCTTCAAAAGCCACGGAAGGGGACACTTTCTGTAACAAAGGGCGTGTGGTTTAAGTTCAGCTTTTTGCTGTTTGACCACTGTACAATCTGCATGTCATGTGACCCCCACAGCCACAACTGAAACGTAACTGCTGGCTTCTCTTCCTCCTTGTGAGACCAAGAGTTGTGCCCTTGTATCATCTGCTGTATGCCTTTGGGCCTCTGTTAGCATGGTGAAGGTACGTTAGTCCTTTACAGCAAAAGATGTCAAGTTGTTTCTCTCCTGAAGTCATCACAGCCTGCAGGTGACTCTCCCATCTCAGGTTGCGGATCCCCCTGCCATCAGGGAGCGGAGTCTCCTGTACTCACAGAGCCCTTTGAGCCCTCCGGCACTTGGGGGAGCCAACCTAGTCACACATTCCTTCACACGTTGAATTTGTGAAAATAACTGAAAGCACTCTTCTAAGAAAACAGATTCTAAAACCACAGTTCTGAGGTCTATTTGGACTAGAGTTTGGGGGTTGGAATTTCAGTAACTCACTCTTCTAAGAGAACATTATAAAACCACATTCCAAGGTCTATTTGGACTAGAGTTTTGGGGTTGGATTTTCAGTGTTTTATGTCTTTATAATGGATTAATTTATTTTTTTAACTTCCTGTATTATAAAAAGAATATTAATAAAGATAGGCTTCTTTCGGTAGAGTATTCTAGGGCTGTCCTGCATTTCACTAGGTATTCTAAAATTAAGGAAATGGAGAGACTTCTGCTACAAGTAGTGCCTTACTTAAAATGATTCAGCTCAATGATTTTATACTCCTCACTGGTGTGAAAGGGACCTTCATCCAGTAGGAACCATACTTGATTATCAAGTGGGAGGCTCTGGCCTTAACCCTCAGCACCACAGAAACAAAACAAACCCATGCTCCAGGTTTTGAATTTTGATTTTTTTCCCTTAGTTTGTGAGATGTAGAACAGTACTGGCCTGTGTTACCAAGTGGCCATGGGGGTATGTAACAAAAACTCTCCATACCCTGCTAAGTAATAATGACCAGCAGGTTAGGTGTATTACATATGTACTTCCAACTTAAGATGTTTCCAACTTAATCTCTACCTGGAAATAACCCTACTGGAGCAGAGCTGGAGAGATGGCTCCGTGGTTAACAGCACATGGTGTGTTTGGAAGAGACCCAAGTTCAGTTCCCAGCACCCACATCAGGGGGCTCACAACTGCTTGGAAAAAAATAAATCTTGAAAAAAGGGAAGCTTTTGAATAAATTTCTAGCCTTCTTCGAGGAGGCTAATTTTATGTCCTTATGAGAGCATGACACACAATGAGTTTCATTATGATAGTTCCATACATGTCCATAACGCACTTGGCTCGTATTCACCCCATCACCCTCTCTTCCTCCCTCCACTACTCCCACTTACCTCCTTCCTCTCTATTCAGCTGGTCCCCTTGGAACTTCCATGTCCCCACCCCCCACCCCTAGCCCCAGTGGGTTCCTTTAAGGGGTGCTCACAGGAGCATTGGTGAGGGCGTGTTTACAGTAGGTATGGGCACCTTCCCGATGAGTATACCACAGGAGAAAATATTTCTGTCTTAGCAACCATTAACTGCCTAAAGACCCACCCAGGGTGTGTGTGTGTGTGTGTGTGTGTGTGTGTGTGTGTGTGTAGACCTTGTAAGCCCCTCTTATTACACCATAGGCCCAGTCATGTGCAGGTCTTACCGTTGGTATTCACAATTACTGTGTGTCTAAGAGCGCTACAACCACACCATTGCCCGGAAGTTCCACAATTCCCCCCCCCCCCATCCTTTGGCTTATACTTTATAGAGACTAATTTTTAAGCCTTTCCATAGAAACTAAACCAATAAAATGTATAAATGTAGCTGTTTAGAGATGAATATTTATTTTATAGAATTTGTACACGTGACTGTGGTGACCTGGTAGGGTTTCAGTTTGAGGCAAAGATCCTAGCAGAAGCTCTTCCAGCTCTGAGAAGGCCTGTCTTTGATGTAATAAGACCTTCAGCCAACTGGAGGAGGTCCAGTCACATTATGAAGAGCACCCTGCTTTACCCAAAGTCCACTCATTTAAATGTTAATCTCTTCCAAAAGCACCATCACAGAAACATTCTGAATAATGTTTAACCAAATATCTGGGCAACATGACCCAGCCAGCTCGGTATACAAAATTAATCATCACAGTTGTCCTACTTGTTTATACCACAGTCAAAAAAAAAAAAAATTGGAAACGATCTTCCGTGGTGAGAATATCCAAGCCTGATTTAGGTTTGATTACAATACTAGAACAAAGGATATCCAGCAAGTGTGTGCTGACTTTTAAACTGCACGTGAATCTGGCACCGTGGCTCGCTAGGTGAACGAACGTGCCTGCTGCCAAGCCTTGTACCCTGAATTTGATCCCTGGGACCTACATGGCGGGAAGAGAGAGCTTCAGTTCAGCACGTTGTCTTCTGACTTCCACATGTGCACTGTGACGCGCGCGCGCGCGCGCGCGCGCGCGCGCGCGCGCGCACACACACACACACACACACACACACACACGTGCGCGCGCATGCGCGTGTGATATGAACTGAATTTATATGACTGAGTTAATTTCCCTGGGGGTTTCTGGGTTCTGCCAGGCTTCCGGTGTGGTGCTGGTGGAAAAAGACAAGGTAGGATGAAGGGAAAGTTCTGGTTGGATTGTGCAGCTTCCCCGACTGGCTCCCCAGCTAACCCTGTATGCAGTTTGGATGAGTTATTTGGCTTTGATGTAGTTCTCCGTTTCTTCTCCTGTGCGAAGAGAACCATCCCGGCTGCTTGCGGTACATTTTGCTCCGTTAAGCGGCGTTCGCTGCTCTTCCCAGTGTGGACATGCAGTGGGGTGGCATTTTTCGGTGGCCCTGCAAGCTGATGATGTAACCTGATTGGGGAAATGCTGTAGAACTGGCTTGTATCAGTCAGGTTTGGTGTCCATACTGGCGATCTCAGCACTTAGGAGGTTGGAGGCAGGAGGATCACGAGTTCATGATGGTCCGGCTCAGCTTCTTGGGTTTTCCAGGTCATGTACTACTGTTTCATGAGATGCTGTTTCAAAAAACAAAAGCAAAAACAAATATGACTCCCCTCAACCCCCCTAACAAAAAACAAAAAAACAAACAAACAAACAAACAAACAAACAAAAAAAAAACCAAGGAAAGAATTGACATGTGTCACTTTCAAGATGAGTGAAAGGCCACTATGAGTTCCCAAGGGCTTTCTTCTTGTCTTCTCTTACCTTGCCAAATGATTCCTGTGAAGATGGTAGCACTAGCTGGGCATGGAGGTTTTTCCATTGACTCCCAGAGCATGGGAGGGAAATGTAGATGGATCTCTGTGACTTCCTGGCTAGCCTGGCTTCCATCTAGAGTTCCAAGCCAACTAGGACTACATAGTAAGACCCACCCTGTTTCAAAAAAAAAAAAAAAAAAAAAAAGAAAGAAAGAAAAGAAAAATGAAAAAAGAAATATGAGCATCGGTGGATAAATGCATATGCTGGGTAAGCCTGACAACCTGGGTTCAATTCCCACGACCCAAGGAGAGGTAGAAAGAAAGAACCAAGTCCACGAAG